GGGGCAGTTAAGTGGTGCAGTGAATAGAGTGTTAGACCTGGAGTCAGGAAGACCTGCGTTCAAATCCTACTTCAGACACTAAGCTGTGTGACCCTGGGCAAGTCACTTGACCTTTTTGGCCTCAGTTTCCTCATCTGTAAAATGAACTGGAGAAGGAAATGACATACTACTCCAGTAACTTTGCCAAGAAAAAGTGGTCACGAAGAATCGATCACTACTAAACAACAACAAATTTTGTTTTATGCATTTAAATCTGTCTGAGAAGAGTTCCAAAGGCTTCCCCAGACTGCCAAAGAGGATTATGCTAGTCAGAAAAAGATTAAAAGCCCCTGCTTTAGGCGAATTCCAAGTGCAAAAATAATGACTTTTCCCTGCAAGAGATTAAAATTTCTTTAGTTACCTCAGCTTACTCCTTAAACACTTTGTTTCATATGCAAGGGAAAAAAAACATGTAGAGACACAGATTTGCTTATAAAACACCCAAAAGCACACACCACTTTAGAAAGGAAATTGTTACTATATACTCCAAATTACCTCCAACCCCAATATATACTGACCTCTAGCACCTGCCAAAGATTTCTGACAATGAAGTTCCTTCATGATTCAAAGGCAAGACTGGGACAGAAGCTCATGCCAAGGACCACAGGAAATTTATTCTTGCCTTTCAATTCAACAAACCATTATGAAACATCCACTATGTTCAAGGTATTGACCTGGTCACAGACAGAGAAAAACATTAAAGAAAGACAGTCCCTGCTCTCAATGAGCTTACAATCTAACGGAGGGGGTGCAACACACAAAAGGAGTCAGGAAAGCACAATTGGGGGAAGGACAAGACACCAGGCGGTACCATCTTGTTCTATGGAGTTGGAATCATGGAGAGCACCAGATGCAAAGTGAGGGGAGTTGAAAGAACAGTTTCTGCCCTCTATGAAAGAAGACAATGGGAAGGGTTTAGTACTCCTCCCTCCAGCCCCCAAGTCAGAGGGTAAAGGAAGCTGAAGGAAGTGGTGTCAATCAAGGCTTGAGTTAGCAACATGGTGGTGAGTTTAGAAGAGGTGAGCTTATCCTGGGAGATGAGAATAGGCAGAGCAGCAGATGCAAAGTGGAGGTTCCACATCAGGGTGGAGAGGAATATGATCCTTTGGGTCTTTTCTTGGGAGTAAAACAAATTGGACTACAGCAATTTAAAATCAGATGTGACTTTGGAGACTATCTAGTCTGACCCCTTCATTTTCTTGACAGAGAGGGCATGTGACTTGTCCAAGGTCAATTTCTGTTGGAATGAGTAGCTTATATTTGGACTAGAGAGTTTTCCTTGAGAGTAGTTCTGGTACAGAATTCCTAAGTAAGTGGTAGAAATCTCAAGGCCTAATACCCACCAAAACATACCCAACAAGTGTTGGGTTTGAAGACCTCCAATGAGATGAAATCTACTATCTTTTGAAGTTGCCCGTTCTATTTTGGGATACTTAATAACTAAGAAATTCTTAAGTCCAAAAGGCTATAAAATTGTACATACCTTTTGACCCAGCAATACCACTTCTAGGTCTGTATCCCAAAGAGATCATACAAATAGGAAAAGGACCCACATGTACAAAAATATTTAGAGCAGCTCTTTTTGTGTTGGCAAAGAACTGGAAATTGAGGGGATGCCATTCAGTTGGGAAATGGCTGAACAAGTTGCAGTATATGAATGTAATAGAATATTTTTGTGCTATAAGAAATGATGAACAGGTAGACTTCAGAAAAACCTGGAAAGACTTATATGAACTAATGCTAAGTGAAATGAGCAGAACCAGAACATTGTACACAGTAACAGCCACATTGTGAGATGACTAACTTTGATAGACTTATCTCTTCTTAGCAATGCAAGGATCTAAGACAACTGCAAAATACTCATGATGGAAAATGCTATCCACATTCAGAGAAAGAACTATGGAGTCTGAATGCAGATCAAAGCAGATTATTTGATCTCTCTCTCTCTCTAGTTTCTTCTTTCTTATGATTTCTCCCATGGGTTCTAATTCTTCTTTACAACAGCACTAATGCGAAAATAGGTTTAATATGAATGTAAATGTAGAGCCTATATCAAATTGCCTGCTGTATTTGGGTGGGAGAAGGGGACGGATGGGAAGAAAATTTGGAACTCAAAATCTTATTGAAGTGAATGTTGAAAACTAAAAATAAAAAAGAAAATAAAAAAGAAATCTCAAGGCCTTTGATGAGGAAGAAGGCAAAATAATTCTTGAGGAGAGGGAAGGATAGCACGGAAAAGATGAAGGGGAAATAAGCATACCCATAGTAAAAGGACCAGTCCTACCATTGGACTACCTCCCCCTTGTCTTGAAACTCTGACACAGTGTTTGACAGTTTCTTAGAGTCCATAATGAGGCAGGAATGTTCTACTCTGGAACTGACTACTTGTGGAATATTGTGTGCGGTTTTAGGCACCACATTTTAGGAAGATCATTAAGAAACTATAGTGTATCAAGAGGATAGTGGCCAGGAAAGTGAAGGGACTTGGAATTAAGCTAAAAGAGCTTCAGCTAAAGAATGTAGAGATCTTTCTTTACCTCTAGAAACATCCCAGCTGACATGGAAAGACACCAAAGCCCGTGCATTCCCTCTTTTGGAAATGCTAAAAAAAATATTTTGTCAATGTTTTGGTCTAAAATCCTTAGTCTTACTTAGGTGAAAGATCTAATTTGGTACTGGTCTAAAGTTCCCTGAATATCTTCCTTCTTGAAAGCCTAATTGGTTTCAAAGGAGAGGTCTGATTAGTCCAGGAAGGATATTCCTTAAAACTGATCCAAACAAGAGAAATCTTTGATTAATTTAGTTAATAGAAATATCTCTTGAGCTCACCTTTGACCAGATTATAAGGAAGATCCTTAGACTTACTAGTTAAAGAAGGACCGAACGGTTTAAGAAAATAATTCACCAGGGTGAGCCAAAAGTTAAATGACGATTGTCCACTTAAGGAATCAAAACTGTTATCTGAACTTCGTGAGTAAGTTTTCTCTTATTGTTGTTATTCGTTCTCCATTTTCAAAGAGGACCAATGACATCACAAGGGCGATGATGTCTTGACTTTCCCATGAATTGGATTTAAGTGAGGCAGAGTTGCACAAGTGTCAGCCTCACTCTCTCCTCTGGAATCATTGAAGTCCAGTGGCAGGACAAAAGTTAAGACAACTGGTGATGGTCCAGGATGCAATGGGGAACCTTTCACTGGAGATTCTTTTTGTCATTTGTTGTTATTCTTGAACCTTATAAATTGTAGCTCAAAAATAGTTTTGGAAGAGAGATTTTCACAGGTAGGATAAATCTTTGTCCCTTTGGATTTTTATTCTCTCTGAGCTTTAGAGAAGCTTAGAATTAATTTCATTAATACATTTGTTTCTGAAAGATTTGCTCCTAAAACACAATGTACCAAATTTTTCTTTCATATTGCCTTCCAATATTTGAAGGACTGTCATGGGGAAGAGGGCTTAGACCTGTTCTGTTTGTCTCTAGAAGGGCAGAAGCATGGGTTGAAGCCTCAGATAGGCAGATTTAGGCTTGATGCAAGGAAAACAATTAGACCTACCCCAAAGTGGAATGGGGTACAGTTCCTCAGGGGAGTTCTTGAAGTAGAGGCTGGAGGACTATTTGTCAGCATATTATGGAAGGGATTTCTGTTCATGTACAGATTAGACTAAATTAGGGGTTCCCAATTTAGGGTACACAAATGCTTAGAAGATTCAAAAACCTTGTCAGGGAATATGAGGGAATATTTGGTAAGTAACTATATTATCCTGTTGAATATGGATTGAAGAGAGATGGCAATGAGTAGGGTGGGAGCATTACAGTGTATCTGAAAAATTTGATAGAGCCAGTTGAAGGAATAATTCCTACTGATCAAAAGCAAATGAATGATATTTGGATATGAAATCCTTTTCATAGCGAGCTAGAAAAAATCAGTAACAATGATTTAGTATAGGATGAGCTAAATGATATCCCCAATAACTAGAAACTTTGAATTGATTTCCAATCAATGAAGTTCCAAATTTATTGGTATACTCCTGGAGAAACACATGCTACTTTTTTCTAAACAATGATTGCAAGGCTTCATTTCCGTTCATAAAAGTTTATCTTTGTGAGTCAAAAGCCACAGTCTTATTCTCGATCAGATACAAAGTAAGAAACAACCTAGAGGTTCAGTGCAATATGTGGAAATCTCTCTTCAAAACTCCTTTTGTTGTTGTTCAGTCATTTCAAACGTGTCCGACTCTGTGTCACCCCGTTTGGGGCTTTTTTTGGCAAAGATGATGGAGCAGTTTGCCATTTTCTTCTCCAGCTCATTTTACAGATGAGGAAGTTGAGGCAAACAAGGTTAAGTGACTTGCCAAGAGTCACATAGCTAGTAAGTGTCTGAGGCCAGACTTGAACTCAGAAAGATGAGTCTTTCTGACTTCAGGCCCTGCACTCTAGCTACTGTAGTGCCTACCTGCTAAAACTCCCAAAACTATGCCAAAATAAAACTGTTGGTTGACAAGGCATAAAATCAAGTCTCAACTAATTTGACTGTGTACTTAATTAGCAATGTTATGATGCTAAAAATTTTATGTACTAAATAAAATTTTCTTTATAAAAAATTAATCATTTCTTAGGCAGATATGCATAGTAAACTCAGATTTATTTTCTTTCATAATGAATGGAGGGTACAAGGAAGGTTTATTGAAAGCCAAGTGATATGGAGACTGAAAAAAGTTTGGTGAACTCCTTGCCTAGGTGATGGGTCCTCTTCAACTCTAACGTTCTGTGGAAATAAAGGAAAAGGGGCATTTCAACCCTCCTATTAGACTGCCCAATTCTAGTAACATACATTGGCCCTGACCCATCCCAAGTGTGCCATCAGAGACACCCATCCCAAGAGTGCCATCAGAGACATGTCCTAAGGCACATGTAAGAGAAGAATCAGAGGATAAACAAGACCCTCGCTAAGGTAGGCTCACCTGAGTCAGGGCAACACTCACAGTGTTCACGTGCTGAGCTCCACTTTCTTTGTCTATAAAATGTAAATATTGAACTAGATGACCTCTAAGGTTCTTTCCAGATTTAACATTCTGTGAAGAAAGGGAAGAAGCATTTATTAAGCACCTACTACATGCCAGGCACTGTGCTAAGTGCTTTACAAATATTATCTCATTTGATACTAACAACAACCCTCAGAGGGAGGTACTATTAGGGTCACACCACTAGTAAGTATCTGAGACTACACTCAGGTTTTCCTAACTCCAGGCCCTGGAACTATTCACTGTACCACCTTGCTGCCTCTAACACTATGATTCAATGATGCTATTAGATTGTGAGCTCATTGAGGGCAGGGACAGTCTTTTGCCTCTTTTTGTATCCCCAGTATTTAGTACAGTACCTGGTACATAGTAGGTACTTAATAAATGTTTACCAATTGATTTATTGATCCTCAAAGCCTGGAACATTACCCAGAGTTGCAGATAGACCTAGTTAGAAATCACACACTTCTAATGTCATTACCTACTAATTAGAGCAGTTGTATTTTCAAGTCTCCTTGTTCTTATTAGCCATAGCCCCAGAAGGAGATCAAAGATTTTAAGATACTGAATTGAGTTCTGGTCAGGAGTTCAATATTTCAAAGCTTTGTCTTCAATTGGACTACTAAGCAAGGGAGACATTTAACTTATTTGAGCTTAAGTTTTCTTGACACAATGAGCCTGTAAACACCTACTTCATGGCATTCTTCTGGATTCCTGATTTCAAGGTATTTCTATTATGCATTTCAATCAGACTTTTAGGATAGTAAGTAGCAGGAAGGGAAAGAAAGCTCCAAATTCCACTCCATAGTTAATCAAATGCTAGGCAATAGGAACTAAGGACCTCCACCTAAGTGTAAAGTGCTATGAGATTTTGAATGACTTCTTGGGACCACTCACATCTCATCATGAAAGATGATACTGTACCACCTGGAGAAGATGGTTCTGTCCCAGTGTCTGAAAGAAGCCCACACTTTTGTCCTTTATCAACCACATACTGGGCCACTTTCCCATAGTGGGTTACTGCTTTCTTTGGTTTAATTGCTTATATTAAATAATAATGAATTTTCATGGCATTCTCTACACATAGACCCATGTGGCCACTCCAAAGGAAGCTGGAGGCACTAGGCAGCTTCCTTTGCCCTGATAGGAGCCTGAATCTCTTTATGCCCCACACAGAAGTAGCTGCCTACTGCCTAAAGTGAGGGCAGGAGGAAAGTAACTGACTTAATATGCATATAAATTCAAGTATTTACTGAGCCATAAGAGATTGTTATGAGACACATCTCTCATTCATAGTTTATAGGATAATAGATGAAAACTGTCAGATGAAATCAGGAGATAAGCACCATGAATACATTTTCTTCCTTTACCCTGGGGGAAGACAAAAAAAGCTTACTGTGGCTTTCTGTGTATAAATAAATAATAATAATGATAAATATAAATTGTTTTGTGAAAGCCCTTGTTATCTTTATTGCATTTTATGTTTCTTTGTGTTCCTACTATCCCTTCTGAGGTAATGCCTCCCCTTTATGTGAAGTAGCATTATATGTTCTTTAAACTATCTTCTCTGGCAGTTTGATGATATAAATCATAAGATGATAGGTAGAAAGATCACCTGTTCCAGCCCTCCTCCTACATTTGATAGGCAGAAGATCAGAAGTCAAAGAATTTAAGTGATTTACTGAATATCCTATTTCCAGGAGGGGTCAACCCCAGGTTTTAAAAGTTGGAGTCCAGTTCTTTTCTGCAAAACCCCCATGTGGAATGATAATAAAGGATTACACTAACATGCAGTTCTACTTGCTACCCAGAATCCCCCAGTAAAAAATGTATCTGCTTAGAGAAGGGTCTTAGGGAATGGTGCAGTAGATAGACCACTGGCCCTGGAGTAAGGAGGACCTGAGTTCCAACCCAGCCTCAGATATATACCAGTTTTGTGACTCTGGGCAAGTCACCTAACCTTGTTGGTCTCAGTTTTCTCATGTGTAAAATGAGCTGGAGAAGAAAATGGCAAACCACTCCAGTATCTTTGCCAAGAAAACCCCAAATGGGGTCATAAAGAATTGGACACAACTGAAAAATGCCTGAACAACAATAAAAAGTGGCATAGTAGATAGAGTAATGGGCCTGAAGTAAGGAAAACTTGTCTTTGTGAGTTCAAATCTGGCTTCAGACACTTACTAGCTGTGTGACTCAGGACAAGTCACCTAACCCTGTTGGCCTCAGTTTCTTCATCTGTAAAATGAGCTAGGGAAGGAAATGGCAAACCACTCCAATGTTTTTGCCAAGAAAACCCCAAATGGGGTCACAAAAAGTTGGATACAACTAAACATAAATGTTCTTTTAAACACCACGAATATCATGTGGTACAAGAAAATAATCTTCCAATCCTTATTTCTTCCTTTCTCCCATTTTAGGGCCTAGAGGGAGCAGAAAATTTCCAGATGGGATTTTAGAGTTGTGAGCTTAAGGCTAGAAAGGAGCTTAGAGATCTTCTAGTCCAATTTCATTTTACAGAAAAGGAAACTGAATCTCAGGGATATTAAGACCACACAGATAACGTGTCCTTAAAGTGGCCAAGGTATAATATGTGAACTGTTTTCAAAGGGGAAAATGCAAACTGTTAATAACCACTCTAAAAGTTGTTCAATCTATGTAATAATAATATAGATGCAAATAAAGCAACTTTAGAAGGCTACCTTCTGCTCATTAGATCCATCCAAAGGGACTAAAATAATCAAAATCAAATGCTGGTGGAGTCATGGGAAAACAAGTGTTCTCTTACATTGCACATAGGACTTTAGATTTTGTGTATGCCATTTGGACAGCAAACTAGCAATATAAAATTCATTAAAAAATTGTTCTTAACCTTTCACCCAGTGGTCCTGTTACTAGTACTATATCACCAAGATGCTATTTAAAGTGGAGGAATGATCTATTTGTGTAAAAATATTCATTAACAGTTTTGTTTGTAACAGTAAAAAAAAAAAAAAAACCTAGAAACAACCTTAGTGTCCAACAGCTAAGGAATGATGAAATAAATTGTGGTTTATCAATGTAAAAGAATACTTATGTGTCATTAAGATGACTAATATGAAGAATATAAAGAAATATAGAAAGAGGGAAAGTGATGCTCAGGAAGACCAAAATTCATACAATGGACGTTTTGACTATTATGACTATACAAGAAAAAAACCGGTAGCAACACTTTGTAAGTAAACAGATGGGAAAGAGCAGAAAGTGACACAGAGTCAATAAATTGTCACAATTAATCAAAATTTATTATGTTTTTAAAAATCAAAATGTGAATAATTCAGAGTCTGTGCTTTTATAGGGTTTGATCTCATATTTTGTTCATTAATTTGTGTATTTATACTTATTTTAAATTTATTCAGGAAACAAATAACAGTGGATAGAATTCTAGGCTTGCTATTTGGAAGACCTGGATTCACATTGTGCCATTTAGGTGACTCTAGGCAAGTCATTCAGTCATTTTTTCAGTCATGCCCGACTCTTTGTGACCCCATTTGGGGTTTTCTTGGCAGAGATACTGGAGTGGTTTGCCATTTCCTTCTACAGCTCATTTTACAGATGAGGAAACTGAAGCAAACAGGGTTAAGTGACTTGCCCAGGGTTACATAGTAGGTGTCTGAAGTTGTGTTTGAACTCAGGTCCCCCTTACTCTAGACCCCATGCTCTATCCATTTCACCAACTAGCTGCCCTTATTCAAATCAATTCCATTTATTCAGCAAGATCCTAGATACAGAGCTGATAGAGATAGCTCAGCCTCCCTATATCACATCACAGGCAGGGATTAAATTTAGAGGCAGAAAGTTAGTTAGTTAGTTTGTTTGTTTGTTGGTCAGTTAGCATCTCCAAGTAATCATTGAAACCTTCCTCTCTGCCATAGAAAGGCAGGTTTAGAGCTAGGAAGCACCTTAATGATCATCAGGTATAACCTCTTCATTTTACAAATGAAGGACACCGAAGCCTGGAAAAGGGAAATGATTTGTTCCAAATTGCCCAGGAAATCAGTAGCAGAGCTAGGATTCTAATCCACTTACTCCCACTTTTTCCTCCTCCCTTTCCCCTGTGCCTAAATAAATCTGTGTTATAGAGGGGCTGCAGGAGAGAATAAAACCACCTCAGGCCAGAAGGGGACACAAAAAATGCAGAGCCCTCTTACAGCTTTGATATTTGTAACCATCCTATTTCCTATCCTTGAGCATCTTATCTCCTTGAACATTCCTGTCAGAGGCGCCCAAGACCTTGATGGACTCTTTGGTGACCAGATGGGCTCATATACAACCATCCCCTTTAACGAACACACAGCCATTCAAGTCGATTAAAATCAGTTTATTTTTGTCTCTGTAACCCACAGTATCAAGCACAGTGTCTGGCACATAGTAAGCATCTAATAAATGTTTATCGAATGAGTGAATAAATTTATGAATGAATGAATGACATTCCTGGAGGTAGCACAGAAGATAGTGTTCTTCCTGGAGTCAAGAAGACTCATCTACCTGAGTTCAAATGTGGCCTCAGACACTTACTAGCTGTGTGGCCTGGGCAAGTCACTTAGCCCTGTTTGCCTCAGTTTCCTCATCTGTAAAATGAACCAGAGAAAGAAATGGCAAATCATTCCAGTCTTTGCAAAGAAAACCCCAATTGGGGTCACCAAGAGTCAGACACAACTGAAATGACTCCATGACAACTGAAGTATGTGCTTGGAGAATCAGGTTAAAGACATCCACTATAACAGTGAGGCACCATTACATTTATAGTTAACCCTTGCACAGCATGGAGGAGAAAGGGTCAAAGAAGGCCAAGGTCTTGTGATTCATCTAGAAACTCCATGTTTTAGTCAGTTCATCTTCTAGGGCACCTAGTGTCCCTGGGAATCTGGACCATTATATTTGAGGATAGATATCTATGAGGACCCTGGGAAGGCAAAGGGGCAAGAAAAGGGCAGAAGAGCAGGAAGTGTCTTCTTCCCAAACATCAGTCAGCTGGAGCTTGGTGAGAAATCAAATAATAATGGTAGAAAGTT